AAGTGAGGATCAAGTGATACTTATTAGTTGTTATAATGTAATGCTAAGTATTTTTTGTGATTTTAATATAAATCTTTTGTCCTTTACTTTAATTTTTTTTTTCATTCAATAAAAAAAAAATGTGAAGGACCCCAGAAATTTAGTAGTTGATTATCGGCTTTGGGCCCCAAAAATCTCAGGACTGGGTCTGCACTTCAATTTGCCATTTTACGAAAATTTCGTCTACGGGAATCGACACCCATGTATATGCGCGGTTTTAGGGACTTACACCCAGGACACACAGGCCAACTTAATTCAATGGAGTCCATACCCCTTCTCTTCCCACATATGGAGTACATCTTCTTTCTCCTCCCAAATATCATACATGTATAATGTATTATAACACAATTATATTAAATGACAACAATAAGAGATTAGTTTCAATTCGCCTAATTCTTATGTAATTTTTACAATAATCATAACTATCCTCTACCGATTGTCCAAAACAGATATACAATATGTATAACAAATAAATTATCCAAATTTCTATAAGTGCAAGATAATACATATCTAGCTCCACCATTTATATAAACAACCTCCCAATTTTACACTTTCACTACCAATTCCATTATTTATACAAAATAATCATTTGAATCATAAGCTATCATTTTTTCCAAGTTCATCCCAAACACCAAAATCAACTATTTTAACACAATACAAGTTCATATCTACTCCCATAACCATTTCCATTACATTCATTCGAAAAACCCCCTTGAGATTTTAAATCAAAACCCTAGGTTTGTCTAAAATCCTCCAAATCTCAATCTTGTCCATACAACATCAAATAGCTAAGTTAAAAACCATATGAAAGTGTAGAAAACCCCTACCTCAAACTTAGAAGACCAAGAGAGCAAAGAAGAAACTTCAAGAGCATCGAAACCAAGCTTTATTCGGGTCAAAACGGAGCTCTAGCAATGCTCTATCTTTTTATCAAAGAGAGTATGGTAAAAAATCCTTAATCTAGGTGTATTTGTAGAGAGAAATGGTGTTCTAGAGAGAGAGAGAGGGTCGGTCTAGGGTTTTTGAGAGAAGAGATATCAAAAAGTGATGTAAAAAAGGTGTTTTTACGAATTGATATACATGCAGCTCGCTTGAGCGCAAGAGTTGTCGCTCGAATGACCAGACACAAATAAGTCACCTCGCTCGAATGCAAAATACACTCTCCTAGAAGTTTTACAGGCAGAAGATCGTTGCTCGAGCACAAAAGTCCTCGCTCGAGTGAAGAACAATACCCTCCCAGTATATTTGCAGGTTTGCAGAAGTACTGGGAGTTCATAAAGCTCGCTCGAGTGTAAGAAGCCTCGCTCGAGCAAAGAGGCCAAAATCTAGACTACAACAATTTGAACCAACTAGCAACCAACCTAATTCAAACACAACCAAGACGTTCCAAAACTCAACTTCAATGAAGAATAAGGAAAAAGGGACAAAAACAACAATATAGAATCATGAAACTTGAGCCCGGAATACAACAAGGATCAGTTCAAAACCGGAATCGTTATAAGTAACATGTGCGATAATGGTTATGGTTATTCAATTTTTTTGTTACCATTTTGGAAACATTTTTTTGGTTGTTTGGTAATGGTTTGCAACGTAACCGATACTGAGGGTGTTTGGAGTGATGGTTTGAGGTTAAAATAGCCAATAAAGACAAAAATAAATAAATAATAATGCTAAAATAGCCAATAAAAATAAAATATCACATTTAAATCATAATCATTTCATTTTTTCTCTCATAACTATCAAATCAATTACAAAAAAAAAAAAAACAACTATCATCCTAAACACAACTTTTTTAGTCAGGCTAAAATGGTCAAAAAGCCAACTGAAATAGCCAAGTTCCCAAATGAGCCCATTGATTTTTTGTATGAGAACCCGCAATTCAATAGTAGTAAATCAAACAATTTTCTGTCATTCGAACTTCAACTTTCGAACCAAAAAAACAATTTTAAAATAGTGCTAAAAAACGATTTTAAACATAATTTGTTGTCATTTTGTCATTAAATATCAAAATATGGGCTTTCATCTCTCAAATCTTCCACAATAATGACGAAGGATTCAAATAATAAACTAATGTGAGATTTGGGTAAGAATAAACTTAAAAGATGAAGACCTTGAAAGGTTGAGTGAGAAACAATGGAGAATAAAATTAGGGTTTAATGTTAGATTTCTAATAGATGTGTACTAAGAGTTTTTTAATTCCAAAGATATGTACTAAGAAAGTTTAAATTTGAGGTAGTATGTGTATATTTATGTCTATATTAGTAAATTTATTTAGTGATAAAATTGTAATATAAAATTTATATTTATTAAGTTTGTGCGTACACAAAATAAATGATGTGTAGAAGTAGAGGCGATTAAGGATGCTGCTTCTTTCTAGTCCACAGTGTGGACTTGACAGTATTGTTGGGCTCATGGGGCTCACCACGGGTTCTATTTCGATGATCCAAACTGTTTAATGTGTAGAGCTTGTTGTGTATTTCATTCTTACAAAAATCACGTTGATCAGATATTAATAGCCCATTGATCAGAAGACATTTTTGTCAATAATTTATTTTTTAAATCATATTTACTATTAAAAAATATGATTCGATCAAGGGGTTATCGATATCCGATCAATATGATTTTTTATAACGATAAAGTACTCGACGAATTTTACACATTGAATGATTCGGATTATTGAAATGGAAACCTTGGTGGACCCCATGGGCCCAACAACACTGTCCTAGAGAGAAGCCTTCTTCATATTGAAAATCCACCACAATTTTTTTTTGGTAAATTACACTTACACCCCCTATGGTTTTTGACTAATACATATTCCCTATTTACATTTTGAAAATTACACTGACCCCCTATGTCAGAATTTATATTTTGACATGGTCAATAGAAAATGTAAAAGTACTAAATTATCCTTACTTATTGATACCAAATTACCTTGCTACCCTAAATCATTATTCCTAACCAAACTCTAAACACAGACCAATCTTTCTAACTCCCTTCTACTTTCACACACCAAACCATTAAAAGTAACTCCAGCTTATTTTCTCCTCTCATCCTCAGTCGCTCGCAATAATGACCACACAGCACCTCAACTTTCACCTTCACGAGACCACCATATTACCTTTCATGCCTCTGGACCATCAGAGTTCCAAACTCATTACTGGTTGTCGAACTTAATCTTAAAATCTTCCGAACACCAAGATGTGATGGCCATAATGGGGATTAAGAAGATCACAATGCTAATGCAAACGACAAAGAGGACACAAATAAAAGGTAGCAAAGACAGGGGACGACTACCATTATTTGAATTGTACAAACTCTCTCTGTCTTTCTCTCTCTCCACCTCTCTCTCTCCCTTATTGTTTATCAATTTAATTTCAAATTTCAATGATGATAGTTTATAGTAATAACAGTGACAATGTGGTAGTAGGCATGGTTGAGGGGAATGAGTAGGGAATGTATGGGGACAAGGTACGGCAGGTTAGGCATGAAAGGAGTGACGTCAACTGCTGATTTGGCCTCTGGACCATCAGAGTTCCAAACTCATTACTGGTTGTCGAACTTAATCTTAAAATCTTCCGAACACCAAAATGTGGTGGCCATAATGGGGATTAAGAAGATCACAATGCTAACGCAAGCGACAAAGAGGACACAAATAAAAGGTAACAAAGACAGGGGACAACCACCATTATTTGAATTGTACAAACTCTTTCTCTCTCTCTCTCTCCCTTATTCTTTATCAATTTAATTTCAAATTTCAATGATAATAGTTTATAGTAATAACAGTGACAATGTGGTAATAGGCATGGTTGAGAGGAATAAGTAGGGAATGTATGGGGACAAGGTACGACAGGTTAGGAATGAAAGGAGTGACGTCAACTGTTGATTTGGTTTTATGGCTAAAGTGGGTGATAGATGTGGAGGTTGAAATGGATGTGCAAGTGTTAGGTGTAGAGGTAGAGATATATAGACAACATGTTCAACAAAAGTACCAAGTAAGTTGAGTTGGCACAAGATCTTCGACAATAATTGGCAGTAAAAGAAGATTGATGGGTTTAGTCGGTTGAAACAAATCTACAGTGTGATTTTGTGTTTACGTATGGTCGTGTGCATAAGATATAGTAGTATGTTTTGATGTAGTCATATGCTGCCATGGTGGTCTAGTTGCCTTCAATCTGTGGTGTATGGTTTGGGCTTCAAAGTGTTTTTTGAAAGGTTTGAGAGATGTATTTGATTGTTTTGTTGTGGTAGTTAATGTTGATGGAAAGTGTAAGAAGTGATGGCGTGCGTGTGAGTGATGAAGGCTATCAGAGTGAAAAATGCATTATAGAAGAGGTTGTTTGCTATTGGGTGTGAGATGCTTTATGGAAAGACTCTTATGGAGAACATAATTATGATGGTTTGGTTAATGACGTGATGGTTGTTTGCATATGCATGAGGTGTTGCGAGGAAGATTTCTATGTAAGACCAAGTGTTGAAGGCTAATTGTTTGAAAAAATGATTATAAGACCAAGTGTATTAGTGGTTGAATGAGTTGCGAAGGCAAATAGTAGACTATAGGAAAATAATTTGACAAGGGTAAATGTGGGATTTTCAAAAAATTAAATACTGAGATAAGCTAAATCTCAAGGGGCACTGAAGGGGGATTTTTGTAATGTGATCATAAATCTCAAGGAAGGATGTAATTCTTAGAACTATAAGGGTATTATTGTATTGAGAAATATTAGGGATCATGAAATTTTTTTCATGAAAATGATTATGAAAGATTTGTGACCCTTAAATTATCATGATTAGTGTGTGGTGTTTTATTCTAAGTGTAATTTAAAGATTACAAATTTTCATGATTATTTTCATGAAAAACTTTTCATAATACCTAACATTGCTATATTGTATTAGCTTGAAACCTGAGGGAGCGTAGGTGTAATTTATCATTTTTTTTATGAATTAAATAAAAAAATGAGAAAGGAACGCATCTGGAAACAAAATTTGAATTGAGGGCTCGTTATCGTCACTAGTCACTCCCCCATTTTCACTCCTCGCTCTCTCTCTGCAACTGCAACCCCAACCCCATCCACACCATAACCCTCTAAAGCATCTTCCTAACTACCCAGGTTACAGTTGCTCCGTCGAATCCCCACTCGTTTGCAACTCTCTCTCTCTCTCTGTGGTTTTTCCTCATTTAGGGTTTTACTTGAACCGTTGCTTGGTTTCTTCAAAAAACAGTCCCCTCCATTGTCTCTCTTTCTAGAGAGAGATTTATATAGTGTGATCTGAATCGAAGGCCATGGAGGCGATACTCATGGACTGTGTACAGAACAGTCTGCGTCACTTGATGTATCGAAACGCCATTTTCATGTGCGAGCGCCTCTGCGCTGAGTTCCCCTCCGAGGTATAATCTTTCCATGACTTGCAATCTCTCTCTCTCTCTCTCTACACATTTTATGGGGTGATTGAATGAATGAATGAATACTGGGTCGTGTTGTTTGTAGATACATTTTGTAGTTTTGTGTATAGAATCAATGGAAAAAGACCTAAATTGCAATGTTAGGTAGTGTATGTAATTTACAATGATATATAATTATGCATAGCAGGGGCTGAGATGAGAAAGAATGCTAATTTCTTTTCTTTTTTCATTTTAATCTTTTGGTTATATATATATATATATATATATCTGTACAATTCAGAAAATAGTATAGCAGATAGTAAAAGAGTATGAATGACAATAGCTCTTGTTCCACTTGGAGAACAATGCATTAGATCCAATTGCCAAATATTGTTACTTCTGGTCCAGTTTCTTTATTCTAGTTGTGCACAGTATACATACGAACTTATTGGGCAAGAGTAACATTGAGAAAATTTAAGGAAATAAAAATTTCAGACACTAGAGATTGATGTTGGAATTTATATCTATTGCTTAATAATTTTTTATTTTTTATTTTCCTTTATTTCAAGATTAATCTTTAATCTATTTTGTAGTTGTTAAATCTAAGAGGCCATTTGGATTTGGGATTTTGATTAAATTTTTTGTGTATGCTTGTTGGGAAGGAAGTTTTTTGTTTTTTTTCACTAAAAGACAAGTTGGTTACAAAATCAAAAAAAACTAATCCAAACAAAATATTACATCAAACCCCATAATCATTTCAATTTTTTTCTTACAAACATCGCATCCAATCACAAAAAAACCCAACTATCTTCCCAAACATAATTTTTTTTTTTCTCCAATAAAATCTTACAACTAAAAAAACCTACTACCCAAACACTCACATTGTGTTCTGATTTTCTTCTGTTTTCCTTTCTCTATCATCATTAAATAAATATCACGTTGGCATTTCTCTTTCAGTTAAACTCTTTTCTATTTTGCTAACATTATTTTGGTGAAGTGTAGGACAGATTTTTTTCTCTTCTTTTGGGAGTGAAATTTCTTTTGTTATTCATCTTTATCATATACATGATTGATGCCTCTGGTTTTCTTTATCAAATGCAGACAAATTTGCAATTATTAGCTGGCTGTTACTTGCACAATGATCAAGCTTACTCTGCGTACCATATTTTAAAGGGTATGTACAAATTTTTTTCTTGTCTTTTCTTTTCATGATTCAGCTTGGTCCTGACTGTATGATCATAGTGTCTTGAATTTTTTTTGTGATATGTTTCTTTTATTTTAATTTTTTTTGTTAATATTTGTTTCTCCTTTACTCGAATCTGTCCATTGAAGTGCTGTGCTGCTTATCCATTATCTCTTTTCTTTTTTTTGCACCTGTTTCTATGAAGGAACACAAATGGCTCAATCCCGTTACTTGTTTGCAATATCATGCTTTGAGATGGATCTTCTTAATGAAGCTGAAGCAGCATTGTGTCCTGCTAATGAGCCTGTTGCAGAGGTATTAAGTGACACTTGGTACCAAGGCATTTATTTGAAAATATATTTCACGTGGTTGCTTTCGAAGAGTTGACTTCTTATGGATCGTTGTTGAAATGGTCACTATAAGTTGACTTTTGAATGTCTTTTGAACACAGGTTCCAAATGGTGCAGCTGGTCATTACCTTCTTGGTCTTATTTACAGGTACTGGCATATTTCCATATGATTTTTTATTTTTTATTTTTTACACGTACCGGCATATTTCTGAAATCTGAATTTATCAATTCCACAACAAATCGTCATCCTTTGGTTATGTTCTATGCAATACAAGGGCAAGACACTAATATTCGACTTGAAGTTTTTTCAGCAAAGGACTCCCATATGATAGATGTTAAAGTCAATAATATATTAACTGTTAAGAGCCTACAGGAAAATAACGCTTCAGATTACATCATCTCCAGCAGCACCCTAGTCTCACTTTCCCAACTACTTTCTCTCAACTTCCCACGAGCTATATACTTTCTAATGACTCCACTTCTTTTAGGTGAAAAAGCATGTGTATATATTGACATGTATTTATTTTGGCACAATTGTTCTTGTTGTCTATGTATGGCACATGGTTATTAGTGTTACTAAACTACTGATGGTGTGAAGCTATTTGGAAGTTTTTATAGGATCAGGGGTGATTTGTGTGTAAGAAGTCTTTCAGTTGCACTTGTAAAACTAAGATTTTAAAAAGCAGCCGCAATCGTTATGTAACGCCGTTACGTAATGGTTGTGGCGGTTACCGCCACCTGTTACGGCTGCTATAGCGGTGTGACGGAAATTTATATGTGTAACGGCCGTTTCAGTATTACATAACGGCTGTAATGGTACCATAACAGCCGTAACGGTTCGTTAGACACCGTTATACCCAAGGTTTCATAATGCGGCATTATGTAACGGTTGCAGCGGTAGGCACCATGCATTACCCCCCACTGGTGTGATTAAGATTCACAGGTGTGTTAGCTTTAGCGGTTGTTGTAGCGATCAAAACAATGCCGTAACCATAACGGCCGTAACGGTACCGTAACGGCCGTAACGGTTCGTTAGACACCGTTATACCCAAGGTTTCATAATGCGGCATTATGTAACGGTTGCAGCGGTAGGCACCATGCATTACCCCCCACTGGTGTGATTAAGATTCACAGGTGTGTTAGCTTTAGCGGTTGTTGTAGCGATCAAAACAATGCCGTAACGACCATGACGGCCTGTTACGCACCGTTATGTAACGGTTCCGAACTGCTTCTTTAAAAAAAAAAAAGTTGAAAATGGAGGAGGAGGGATAGAGAGAGAAGAGGGAAGATGGAGGAGTAAGAGACAGAGAGAGAGAAGAGGGAAGATGATGAATATGTTATTGATTTATTGAAGCCGTAAGACCTATGCTATTTTATTCGGCTGCTATCACTCAACTATTTTGTTTCTGTATGTCTGTGTGGTCATTATCTATTTAGCTTGATTAAAAAATGTGTATATATTTAGGTTCTTGTTTATTCTCTTACTTTTGTCATCGTTTATCTTATATATAATAGTTAGTGATTGATTTTTTTGTAAAATATCTAGAAAACATAATACCTGTAATTATATATTAATACATATTTTATACATGTCAAATTTTTTTGATTAGTTTATTTTATTTTTATTTACAGGTTATCCAAAAAGAGAATGCTTCCACAAGTATAATAATTAAAAAAATAATTTTATATATCTAAGTCCAATAAATTTTTTTTTTTTTTGCCATAAGTGTAATATGGATTTATAACATAAAGTCATTAATTATTACAATAAAACGTAAAAACTTAGTGATTTAAAAATATGAAATATATTGGATCATACTTAAAAATTTATAAAAATTGATCAATGTTTATTTTAAAACCCAATAAATATGATTATGGAAAAAAAAATATGCGTATCGGTAAGTTTTTTTCAAATTGTACGAAAAATAAAAAAATTCACGGTTTCGGTTACCGCAACCATTACGCTACGACCTTTACACCCTGCAACTGCAACCGTGCCACCGCCACCGTTACGGCGACCGCAACCGTTTTTCAGAACCTTGTGTAAAACACTAGACAACAATAGAAGTAATTTGTTAGACTCCACAAGCAATGGTTCATAAGGATGTCTTAGCAAGATTTTGTGTCGTAAATTTTTTAGATATTGTGTGTTTATTTAGTTTTAAAAATTTATCAATGTAAAGAATAGTGATTTCTACTGGACTTATCAATGTAAATAATAGTGATTTCTACAAGACAGAATAATGTATGTGCAACATATTATGAAACTTCCATCCAGATGTGAATCAAAATATTGATGCTTTATAATTGTTTTCTAAATTTTTGAGAAATTGTTTGGAAACATTGCGAAGAGAATTTCTTTGAGGAAGATTGGAGTAGGATTCACATAACATCTTATTTACTGGGATATTGGTTGCTCCTAATACATGAGGGGTTAGTGATTAGAAGGCTTAGGAAGTAAACCAAACATCATTGATCATCATAAGAGTGATGATGGAGGTTCAATGAATAGGTTGCAAAACATGTTACATGTCAAAGGCACTAGAGATAATGGGGTGTCCAGGTCAGAGACAAACCTGTCAGAGAGAGCGAGAGGCAATGGAGACTAGAGAGTTTAAAGTCTTTGAGAAAGTACAAGTCTCTAGAAGTGAAGGAATGTTCGAAGTATGATGGGGAGAAGTAAAACCTTCTCTTTATAGAAGGTAAGCACATGCATGTAACTACATGCATTGTTGTCAAATCACAAATTGAATCGTTAATCATTTTGTTAAAATAATGAATCGTGAATCGTATCAAATCGTGAATTATAAGATTCAATTTATTTAATATATATAACTTCATATATGTATGTACATACAAAAATATACACATGATGTTTAAAATAAAGTAAATATCAATATTAATTAAATTATATATATGTATATTCATATTAAATCACATATATCTATATAACTAATTGATCTCTTCTATATATCTTGATAGTTTGGCAAAAATGTAGTCATTTCATGCATTATGTAACCACAAAAAAAAAAAAAAAAAAAAAAGAGAAAAAAGAAAAAAAGAATTGAATTGTAGTGAATCATAATGAATTATAGTGAATCGCAATGAATTGTAGTGGATTGTAAATTGAATCGCTCGATTCACTCAATTTCCGATTCAACGGCACGATTCAAATTGTTTTTGTTGAAACTCGTATTGAATCATGAATTGTATGATTCTAACAACCACTACATTGCTGAGAGTTCTAAAGTTGTTTAAGGAAAGGACCCTATGTGTGTCCCTTTGGCTAGAAAAGTTGGTTTGGAGGCAAAAGAATCAGGCTTCTAAAAGGTTCGAAGAGATGCCCATGTATGGCGAGGTACTTTCTCAAGTCAATTGTACTAGCTTTAAGACAACTAGACCATTATGCTGGCTGCACTAGTGGCGGTTCTGCTTTTAGCTGTGGCTTTAGTAGTGATTTTTGTCATTCCCGTAGTCCAAAAGCCGGAGAAAACTTCTTGTTGGGATGAACCTTGAGGAGAGTTTTGAAGTCATTGTTTGTGTAGAGCACACACTTGCAACATTTGGGGTTGCTTTTGATTGTTTGAAGTGGTGTAGTTGGGGAAATATACTGAAACTCATTTGATGTGATTCATAAGCTGGAAAGTTATTTTTTGAGTTTGTTTCATAGTTGGGGTGATGGAGGGGTGAATCCATCTCTCGAGTCTTTTCTCTTGTATATGGTGTAGAGGAATTAGTTTCTTATATCAGTTACATTGGGGCTTAGTTTATCTAGCTGTTTGGTGTAGCTTATGGGGCTGATTTTTTATTTTGTTTTTTTAAAAATTTATGTTTTGTTTGGTGCAACTTCTGCTTACAATTTATGAGGTAGAAATAACTTAAATAAGTTAAAAAAAAGCAGATGGGAAGCACGGGTGAGGTGCTTTTAGTTTTTGTTTTTTGATTATCAACTTTCGGGTTGCTAGAAGCTGCACCAAACAAGCCCTATAATAAGCTTTGTCTAGGTTGCGTGTACATGGGTAGCGCTCTGCCCTTCCGCTGCCTTTCAATGATATAGTATACTTGCAAAGGCTTTGTTTTTGAGATAATATCGCAATATTACTGTGTTGAGTTAGGTATGGATAATTAAAACTGTTTTTGATCGTGCTAGTGATTAATTATGACCAAAAGGGGAAAAACAGGTGGTGTGGTCCATTCATGCATTGAAGATGCCCTCATTGTCCAGAAAAAACATAAATTGATTGTTAAATATTGAGTAAAACTTAAACGTTTGGAAAATGAAATGATCATGTTTGGTTTAGTGTAGAAACCAAAATATCAAACAACATTTTACTCTCTTCTATGTTTCTTAGCTGGCTGGATTTTTAGGGAAGTGAGGCTTGTTACTTGGTCTTGATTTCTATTCCCATTATTTTGTGCATATCTAGATTATTAACAGTTTATTGGACAATGTCAAATGGGTCTTAATTTTATGAACAATAAAATTAATCCAATAAGAAAAATTTTCTTCTGGCTTTTTCTTTTTCTTATGCTTTATGAATGGATATTAGATATGAATTTCTGAAATAACTGCTGCTTATTGAATGGATAGTAACATTGAATTCAAAACCGGCATGCTTCTGAAAGAAATGCTTCTTTTTTTTTGACATGCTGTGTCTTTGATTCTAAATTATGTTTTAATCAATACATTCAACAAGTTTTGTGTCATTTATTGGTATTAATTTGGTTTCAGGTACACTGATAGAAGGAAAAGTGCTATTCATCATTTTAAGCAGGCATTGTCAATAGATCCGTTATTGTGGGCTGCATATGAGGAGCTGTGTGTATTAGGTTTGTACAAAGATTATTAATAATTTTCCAGACTCTTTTTGAGCAGCTCTACTTTGGTTGATATGATTTTGTATTTCATTCTGCTAACTTCATTTTTCACAATCCAGTATGATGAAAACTTGAGTTCAGTTTTTGAATTCAATTCTGAAATAACTGAAACATTACTCAGAAAACTATATTTCTTCTCTTTATTTTTGTCTTTTATGAATTCAAGTAGAGTGACTAATGTTTGCTTATGTAATTTTGCTGAATCTATGGACAGAAAAAAGGGAAAAATCTTCTCACTTTATATTGCTTTGTCTGTAAAATTTGTAGTTTCTTGCATGTTATTATTGGTGTATAGTGCCCTTTTTTTTCAATCAGCAAAATAAATACTTTATTGATAATAATCAAGGACCATCCTTACATCATACATCAATAAAGCAAAAACAAAAAACAAAAAAGCATTGCTATAAGCATCAAGACATAGACCTATCATCCCAACTAGGTTGGCACAAAGGGGCATGCCCAATCATTTGCAGCCCCAGCCATACACAATGGTTGAGGTGGAGACAGCCATACAGTAGCAACAATGCTACCAGGGGTCAGTAATCAATCTAGGAACAACACAAATACATGCTAACAGCAACCATACTGATAACATAGCAATCCCCCACCTAACAGCATCCATACTGATCCATGGATAACACAAGCTCACATCCATCAGTTGAAACAGCGGAGCCAAATAACTACAGATCAAACTGCACCTGCCTTGCTATTGACCTCTTCCCCTTATAGCATCAAGCTTATACACCAGATCATTAACGGAATAGCTTTCCTCCTTGAAATTGTATGTTAAAACCATAGAGCCACTCTTTATTCAGTTCTCTTGTCTCAATTTGCCTATAATCCATTAAACTTGCAATCATTCCTCATCTTCCAAACAGACCACATTGCTGCAAAAGGTAGAACATGCTACATTTTTCTTTCCAACTTTTTAAAGATAAAGCTGTACCTGTAACCAATCCATCATAGTAATAGCCCATTAGCAGTTCCTGGAGTTGCCCGCTGAACTCCCCACCATGAGAAAAACTCAGACCATGTATACCATTCAATTTGCCTGTGATTTTGCAGTGCCTCGCTATTAAATTGAGTATCACAATAATTTATTGCAACTTCTTTTTTTTATTTTTTTATTTTTTATAATGCATTCATGCTACATGTTTGGGATTTTTTAATCTGCTATTAGTTGTTGATTATTATATTTCAGCTTTGTTCAGATAACTATTTATTTTTGGAGAATAATTTCCATTTATCAATGTTATTTCGTGCGGCTTTCATACAATGGATTCATGTTTTAGTGAAACAGACTTTTTTGAATTTTCCAGGTGCTGCCGAAGAAGCCACTTCAGTTTTTGGTGAAGTTGCTGCTCTTTGCATTCAGAAGCAGCACCTAAATCATGGATTGGCTTACCAAAACTCGCAGGCATCGAGTGATGATAGAAACTTTGACTCAGAAGATATCGGTCCAAGGGGTATGAGACATATGAATGCCAATAACACAAGAGATGTCCCTGGAAATTATCATGGAGCAGTTATGACTGGAGGAGCTGCTAGTCAACCTCTAAACGGTGGTCCTGCTAGTACATCATTCTATAATACCCCTTCACCCATGGCTGCACAGGTAAGATTATATAAATTACTCTGCATTTTCTTATATATGAGTTGCATGTGAAGTCTTACAATTACAATTTTGTGCTGTCATCATGACTTTACTATTGCACAGGTGGAAACATTCCAACAGTTAAAACCAACTTTCTTCCTTTATTTTGAAAGGACAAGTGACTTGTCTCTATCTTTATTTTATTTTTCATGCCACTGATTCAATGGTTAAACTAGGCCTAGCCTATCAACTTTGAGGTTATGGGTTTGGACCTGGGGTATCTACTTTGTGCAAATATTGCCAAACGTTAGGTTTGTAACTGATCCACCCCTTGCAGACCCCTAACCAATGGGGACTAAATTGGGCATACCTTTTTTATTTTTTTGGTGTGTGTGTGTGTGTGTGGAACATCTATTAAAATATTTTGTGCTAAATTTATAAACTTTGTTGGTAATTTATCTCTGACATTATATCTATATCTGTTTTGGAATCCATCAGTGTAAAAACACCCTGTATCTCTCTAGGTAATTTATTGAATAAAGATCATTTTACTATTTTCTTCTCTTTTCTCTATGCATATCCTATAAATATAATAGCTGCCTCATTTTCTTCTCTCTTGATTTCTTGTGATAGAAAACAATCATTATTAGAGTTAGAAGTAAAAGGAAGGGAAGCATTGTTTATTCATATGGAAGACTTGTATGAAAGTACTACTAGAAAAAAAAGAAAGCAATAACTACCAAATAAATGTCCCCTGTTACCCGCATCAACTTGGAAGATGGCCTCAGGATTTTGTCCTGAGGAAGGGAAGTATCGTTCATTCATAATGAAGACTTCAACGAAAGTACTATTAGAAGGAAAAAAAAAATGAAATAAGGAAATGACGACCAAACAAATGTCCCCTGCTACCCACATCAAGTTAAAAGATGGCCTCAGCAGTTTGTCCTGAGGCATGCAGTTGAACTGGTTCCTTTTACTTTTCTTTTTTTCCTTTCTTTTTCTTCTCTCTCTCTCTCTCTCTCTCTCTTGTTTTCTAGAAGTAATTTGGTGGCAGTGTTTTTGGTACTTGCTCAATCATTCTCCCCAATGGTTGAGTTGTGATCTAAAAGTTTGATATCCTTGTAACTGACAAAATTTTGTTGTTTCTCTCTATTTTTTGAGAAGTATACAACATTTTTACATATGTGATTCTTATGGAGCTGGTTATGGAGCTGGTTTAGATTGAGCACGGTTTGGTTATATGCAGATAATGATTCCTTCCTACACATTCATGTCTCTCTCTTAGAGTGTGAAACTAAGGAGAGAGATCCGTTTGCACATGGATCTGTTATTCGTTGTTCCTCTTACTCTTCATTTCTGGGTTCAAATCCCAGATTGAATATTTAGGACTTTTTCCTCTTTTCTTAGCTATAAAAAAAGAAAAGAGAAATGGTTCAATCGTTTACAAACCAAACCAAGCCTTAAAAATGGTTCACTCATTTATACTTGACAAATGTAACTTGGTCACCTGTGCATTCTGGATTAAATAGAATACCCGGTGTAGGTCCCTGTTAAATAAGGTTGCTACTGCTAGGGGTAAGGCTGGAGATGACCTAACCTTTGGCGTTATTTGTACAAACTGGCTGCTTTCGTAATTGGAAACCGAATTTTGGATTAGATCTTGTACCAAGCTTTGGACCTAACCTTTGGCATAATTTGCACAAAATGTTCTCATGTTGGCAGCCCAAGCTTTTGTAATTGCACCAAGTATTGGTCGTACAAATTTACTGCATTTCTTGTTGTCTTACATGACCTTGAAGCATATTATTTTGGTTAACAATTGCTGCATTTTCTCTCTTTTTTATTGATGGCCCCATTTTATAATTCTATCTTTTCCCTAGTGGATACTGGCTTCTACTTTTCTGCATAGTCTTCTAAATGAATCCTTATATGGAACTTTTGGTGGCAGATGTAACTTGGTATGCAATCTGGGTTAATTCTTTACCCTTGTGCTGACCCAAAGGATATTCTGTTGTTGAACAATTCCTGATTTTCTTTCTTGTGTATTAGTATTATTATTATTTTTTAAATAATTCCAGCTTCCCAGATTAATTAACCGTCGATTCCCGCTCAGAGAATGCTCATTTTTTGGGTATATTAGTGAAGTATAAGTACACTGGTATATGTAACTGGTAGGATAGGACGACACTTAATTTTTGATTCCCTAATTCTATCTCATTCCTGCATGGTGACTTGACTTATCCCATCCATTCCTTCAATTTCTTTTTTCATTTTAACATGGGATGCAAAAGTTAAAAAAAAAGAAAAAAGATATGAATTTATTTAATTTAATTGAGCACGTAATCCTTGACAAAGCAGAATGGCGAAAAAGGATTCATGTAGCCAACTCCATTTGATTGCGAAGTTTGATTTGGTTTGGAAAAGTTGCACAAATTGAAAGCTTACTATTATGTGCCTTTGGATTATGCTTGCTGTATTTTATTTGTTCTTCTGAAATAAGCTCTACTTATAAATGTGCTTGCATTTAATGGTTATATTTTTCTCTCACTTGGCACTGGGGATGGATCATTGCTCTTAGCTCTTTTTTATCTTGCAGCTGTCAGGTGTTGCTCCACCTCCTTTATGCAAAAATGTGCAGCATAATGGCCCAAACCCAAATTCAGTTAGTATGGATGGCTCACCAAGGTCAACTGTGAACTCCACAATTCAAGCCCCTCGAAGAAAATTTGTGGATGAAGGAAAATTGAGGAAGGTTATAAACTTGATCTTCTGGATTTGTTGTTGCATATAAGATGTCAATTCCATTATTTAATATCATGATTTCAGTTGAGATTTGCCATAATCTGAAATCAGTTCTTCTATCTATGGGCATATTTCAAAGAGTTTTATTAACCACAAGATTTCAGTAAAATTGTAAATTTCAAAGCCAAGCAACAAACTTGGCTGCTCTGATTTTACTCACTTGATCAGTGGAATGCAGAACATTAACTATGACATATTTATGAATAATACACAATGATTTTCCCTTTTATTTTATCAATTTTTCTCTAGTTATAAGGTAATGTTTTTTGTTTTTTCCAGTTTTATTTTGGCAAGTTTGCAGTTTTCAGTCTCCCCACAAGTACAGAATTCACGTCACCCCTATGTTACCCAGCTTTGTGTTTTTTGATTTAGCATTTGGTTCAATATATCTGTTATTCACTATAGTGTGTTTTGTTTTTTCAACATGGTTGAACTTCGGAATAGTTCTTCAGCTTTTTTTAATTCTTGTTTCAATTACTTCAATATGCATTTTCTTTCTCAGTCATTATTATGTTTCATTGGTGCACTCTAGCTATGCCTGTCATTTTGTTTCTTCTAGTGTTCTGGTGATGGGGAATAAAAGGTATTGGATGAAAAATATGGAATACTAGGAGTTCTATTTATTTGGGAATTTTTAGTTTATTTTGGAAATTGAATTTATTTGGTATCTGGAGTTATTTAGGATTTTGTTTCCTCATTGGAGAGTGTCTATATTTATATATCCCAATTGTATATTGGAATATTACATTTTAATATTGGTATATTATTGAATACACAGTTTTGGAGTATTTTTCTCTCTCGGTCGACTTCTCCTTTCCTTCTGTCTTATCTTCTTCTCTCTCTCTCTCTCTCTCTCCTTTCCTTATATGAGTCAGCAATAAAGTCTCTCATTTCTTTGAGTCTCTTGCTTTCAGATATCAGGGAGGTTATTTTCTGATTCTGGACCTCGACGAAGTACAAGACTTGCTGGAGAAGCAGCAGCGAGCACAAATTCAAGTTCCACGACTGTAGCTGGAAATGGAACTAGCCACTCTTCTAAATATCTTGGTGGTTCTAAGTTGAGTTCTGTGACTTTTCGTTCGGTGACAGTTCGCAAGGGACAGTCATGGGCCAATGAAAGTTTTGATGAAGGTGATGAAACCTTTTAGAATTTGTCTTTCTAATTAAGTTATCTTTGCTTACATATAAAAGCAAGAACAAGGTGAAGTTGGCTTTATTCCTATGCTCTAAATCTGATTATTAGTATTTGATTGCTCATCAAAGCATATTATAGTTTTTTTAGTTTGCCATGTATAACATAATTTACTCTCAAAGTGAGCCATTAACGGGTAGATTCCAGGAATCGCTTACATTTGACCATGTCTGTACGAAAGAAAAAATGGGGATCCAACCAACGATTTTCAGACATGGTCCTGTACCTAAATCGATGAAAATCGTCAAGCTGTGATTAATTTTCGTAACTATGATCTATTAAACTGCATCAATCAGATTGAGGGTGAATGCCTTTGTTTATGGTAAGACCGTCTCCAACGCTATTTTTTTTCATCAAATTTAAATTTGATGAAACAAGTACAGTTTTGCTGCTCCGACTATGAACTCAAACCCATATCAAATGACGGGAAACCAAAAAGTTTCATCAAATTGAGGGAGGCTTGCTCATTTCATCAAATTGAGAAGGTAGCCGTTATTGTTGCAGGTAGCTGTTGAGGCGTCACAGTACACTGGACGACTGGCCGGTTGTTTGACTGGTTGTCCGTTGCAAAAATGGAGAGAAATTTACACAAGCCGGTCAACCGCCTGGTTGTCCTCCTAGTCGTCCTCCCGGTCGATCAGTTGTTTGATGAAAATTAAAAATTTAGCATTGGAACGCTTTTACTCAAATTTGATGAAAAAAATAGTAAGCATTGGAGATGCTCTAATGTGGCAATATTTGAGTAACACTGAAATAATACATGAGTTGCACATGCATTTTTTGTTTTATATCCTTATGGCCCTAACAATGTTTTATCTGTGCTGAATGTTTGTTACAACTTTTGATCTTCTATGGTCCATTCCTATTTATTGAGAAATCAAAACTTCATATATGCCATTGTTTAATACGTGCAATTAATTGGTAGCTCTACCAATTAATGTAGCAGCGAGTCCCTTTTTGGTGTCTAATTTTCTCTTTAACTTATGCATATCTTTGGATTTTGCTTTGTTGATACCATTTTATTAATTAACTTCAGTTGTTCAAAACTGGAGTTGAATGAGGATTCAAATGGTTACTGATCATCATTTGCCCTGTTAAAAGCTATTCTTCTCCAAGTTTCAATTTAAATGTGGGAAATGAAATCATCAGTGAGCATTCTTTATGGTGTGATGATAAAAATCTACCTCAGCATTTGTTTCAATGCCTCTGGATCAATTGCAACTATTATGATCTACTATTTGATTGGTTTGAGTTGAAACAACTCATTTCATTCCTTACAGATTCATTAATTCATTCCCTTCCCCTGTACCCGTGGGGATTTTTTTTCTCTTATTCATGTCTATATTTTTTGGTTCAGCAAAACAAATTGGACTTCTGCATCTGACCTCATGGTTGAGAAACCAACTAGATACTGCTTGGTCTGTATTTATAAAAACACCAATTCAACTGTTGATGTAACAGTTGGATTGCTTTTTTGCTTGTTTAAGCTCATTGACTAGCTCAATTAAAGTTGGAGAGATATGATTTTGATGGCTTATAGGGACGCGCCATGAAGTTCGTGATGATCCTCGTTCAAATACAACCACCTCAAGCTCTTCTCCTGGTGATATTAGATCTCTTGAACAAGAAGGAGCAACAATGCCTATGGGTGGGGTTGTTATGAGTAGCTCAAGAGTCATAACCGGTGCTTCAGAAATTTTGGCTCTCTTAAGAACTCTCGGGGAAGGCTATAGACTTTCCTGCTTGTACAGGTGCCAGGTATACATAGGGATTGTTTAAGAAACAAAAGAATTACTTCTCTTATTTGGTTGTGCTGCTTTAAGTTTTCTGAGTAAATGCTTCTTTGTGGAACAGGATGCACTGGATGCATATCTGAAACTTCCGCACAAACACTATAATACGGGTTGGGTGCTTTCCCAGGTAATTTAGTAGGTTCAAATATCTTACCTTTTATTTTTGGATCTTCTACTTATATTTGCCTGTACTGTAGTGATGTGATCTTGGTTAAATTCCAATGCACTCCTATGATTGAAACTATGGAAGGACATGACTTTTCCTTTAAATTATAACATATACAAACTGGGACAGAAACAATAATTTAGTGTTCTGATTTTCCATGAGTTTCATGCAGTCCACCTCAAATTAGTTGAATTTCAATATATTTTGAGTTGGTTGCATGGAAAAGGTATACTGTTATACTTTGAACTAAGGGTCACATTCACATTGGAAGTTGCTGAAAAAATGGTTGGTTTCAATATAGTGTCTAAGCCATCTCTGTTATGAATTTGACACAGCCATCTATTGGCCAGAATTACTAGTGAACTTCATTTTTTAACCATTAAGATACCAGTCTCAATATATTAACAAACATTCAATTTTTCATATTTCTATTCTATATTTGGTTGTGAAATTCCTCCTGAATAAGGATTGGCTTGAAGTTATTACATTCTCATAATTCAAGAAATCATGTCTCTTGTACTTTGTGCATTCTTTGAAGTTAATGATTTGAATCTTTATCATTTTTTGCACAAGATTGTTTACTTCTTGATGACTGGGGATCTTGGTTTTCTTATTTGCATTGCCGTCAACTGGTCATGTTTCCATTTAATTTCTCATGAAGTGTTTCTGCAACTGCAGGTGGGGAAAGCGTATTTTGAATTGGTTGATTATCTAGAAGCCGATCGTGCCTTTAGTCTTGCCCGGCTGGCATCTCCTTATAGTTTAGAAGGAATGGATATATATTCTACTGTTCTATATGTGAGTTCCTTTATTTTGGAGGATTAATTTTTAAACCACTTATTTATGATATACAGTGTTATTCGCACAATTATACAATATAATATGTCCATTTTCTCCAAACATCCACATTTTATTTTTCTTACAGTGTACTTCTCTTTCTTTATTGCTATACATTATCTTTTCACTCTTTTGAGTGGTTTTGTAGTAGTTCCTTGTTCATTGAAACACTGCCTCTATGTTGTTACTATCTATTGAAGCATCTATGCTTTTGTTCATTTGTTATTTTGAAGAGAGACTATTGGGAATTCTAGTACCATGAGAAAAGCTATATGTTAAATTGTGTTTTGCATTCCTGGCAGAAGTCTGTGTTCTTGTCTATTTTTGTCTCCTTCGGAGTTGTAAGCATAGTCAATCATAATTATTATCTATAATTCCTGAGAAAAAGCCATTACACTGTAAGTCTACCCAATGCAAGGTGCTGGGAATGTCATCATTTTGCTCAAATCACTAAGTGGCTGTCCTTAGACTTGAATTTTGTTCTCAAACTTGATAGCCTGAGCTTTTACCATATCACCTAGTATTCTTCATTTGGTCTCATGAACCATGGGAACCTTCTTATCCATATACTTGCTTTTTCTCTGAATCTTTTTGACCTTTGTTGCAGCATTTGAAGGAGGATATGAAGTTAAGTTATGTGGCTCAGGAGCTGATATCAACTGACCGCTTAGCTCCTCAATCTTGGTAACTGCAATCAAACTTTTTGTATATAATAATGTGTGTTTCTTGTTTCAGTTTTATAGCCGTAGAAGTGTTTTCCACTTATTTTTGCGTTCCTACCTTCAAGTTCTTTGTCTAAGAAGCATGGACACATACATGAACATGGACAGGGGTACAGACACGGGACAATGATTTTAACAAAATTAGGATACAATCACGGCAGGAATACCAAAAAAAAACTTTTTATATATTTTTATTTGCTATGTATATGAATATAAATTTAGGGCATAGAAATATGAGAGACATTAATATATATGGATGTATTTTTTTTCCCCTATTTCCCCATTCATTGTTCTATATATTTTACTTTTGACACCAAATTAGCTTTATAGAATTATATTTTAAAAAACCGCATAAATATGTCGTGCGGTGTCTAGACACAGGAAACAAATTCTATGAAGTGTCTTGCCAAAAAATAATAATTAAAAAATTGACATGCCCCATGGTGTGTCCGACATGTTGACATGCCTGTCCGTCCCCGTATTTGTGTTTGATATGTGTCGGACATGACACCCATTTTGGAGTGTCTGTGTTTGCCGTCCCCGTATTTGTGTTTGATATGTGTTGGACACGACACCCATTGTGGAGTGTTTGTGTTTGATGGTCTTTTGTTTTTGGGTAGGGTAGGGGTGAGGGTGGGGGTGGGGATAAAATGAGCAATTCAATTAGTGAAGGTACTTGCAGTTTTCAAATTAACGAGTTTTTATCTCTTGAATATTCAACTGATCAATTAATTAAATACTATTTATTCATTTCTTGTTTTTTGTGGTTTTTTTTTTTCTTTAGTAAATTTTTGTTTTAAATATTTTGGTCATTTTTTAAAAACTTTTTATATGTACCAAAAAAGTAAAATATATGTGAAGAAATATGAAAGAAGTTCACTAATAAATACAAAAAAAAGACAGAAATGTGCATAGGGTTTTTTGTTGTTGTTGTTGTTGTTGTTGTTGTCTTTAGTAAACTTTTTTCATATTTCTTCACATATGCTTCACTTCTTAGAGGTACATTTAAAAAGTTTTAAAAAAATGACTGAAATATGAAAAAGGCTCACTAAAGAAAAATTAGCACAAAAAATAAGTTGAAAAACAGTTTTTGAAAACTAAACCAAACAAGGTGTATGGTTTTTGGTTGTTTATTTGCTCTTGTGGCTTGCCAGCCTGTAATCTTCGTAGTAGTGATGCATATAGCCAAAAATTTCTTCCATAATTTTCTTATTGAGCTCTAGAATGTTGAAATTTTGGGATATTGTTAGTTATAGAATACTTTTTTTATGCGTGGCTGGTTGGTTGAGAGTAATGTGTGGAAGGGCTACAATGGTTGTACTTGCAATGGCATGATCTTATGAACCTAATCAGGGTTCCTAGTGAGTCTTATTTTTTCTAGGAACATGTCCTGGGCAGATTTAGGGGTTTTACATGGTCACAAAAGCCTATCAATATGTGTTTGTTGGAGGTGCATTACAGTCCCAGTTGTTATCATTGGTTGTAGTCCTTACACTCTCTGTTGAATGGATATGGCAGGTGTGCTATGGGAAATTGCTATAGTTTGCAGAAGGACCATGAAACTGCTCTTAAAAATTTCCAACGAGCTGTGCAACTGAATTCAAGATTTGCATATGCGCACACCCTTTGTGGTCATGAGTATGACATATTATATTCAGAAAGAAAACATGAATTTGAGGTTTTCTTTGAGATGATGTGATTTTGATTGCAGTCTTCGGGATATGTCATTGTTTACAGATACGTGGCATTAGAAGATTTTGAGAATGGAATTAAGAACTACCAGAGTGCCCTTCGGATTGATGCAAGACATTATAATGCTTGGTATGGTCTTGGAATGATTTACCTGCGCCAAGAGAAGTTTGAGTTCTCAGAGCATCATTTCCGAATGGCTTTTGAAATTAATCCACGTTCTTCTGTTATAATGTCATATCTAGGAACAGCTTTCCATGCCTTAAAGGTAGTGAGGGGCATTGCTTGTTGATTGTGATTAATATTATATTCTACGGCTTTCTGAATTGTGTCTATATCATCTGACAGAGAAGCGATGAAGCTTTGGAGATGATGGAGAAGGCCATTTTAGCAGATAAGAAGAATCCTCTACCCATGTATCAGAAGGCTAATATACTTGTGAACATGGAAAATTTTGATGAAGCTTTAAAAGTCCTAGAAGAGCTTAAAGAATATGCCCCTCATGAAAGCAGCGTGTATGCCTTGATGGGTAAGATTTATAAAAGGAGTAATATGTACGACAAGGCGATGCTTCACTTTGGATTAGCTCTGGATTTGAAACCACCTGCAACAGATGTTGCTACCATTAAGGTGATTTGCGGTCCTATTCATCTTTTGTTGTGGAATTGGGTATTACGATTAGTTATGAAATAGACTTCCATTCTTCAGAGTTTTGCATATTGTTTTGTTGAGTAAAAGGGCTGGAAGCTCCGTATTTTTTGTATTAAACTGCCTAAATCCCATTTTATCTCTCTTTTTATTTATTTATTTTTGTATTCATTTTTCACAGTGGTGGTTTTTTTCTTTCTTTTTATTTTGTTATCTTGATAAATTCTGCGTTGGATGCTGGCCATTTTTCACCGTGCCATCTCACTTTTGGTCACTGGCTATGATTTGAGTCTGATCTAACAGCTTTTCTTCTCTGAGTTATTTAAATTGGCATATGAAGTACTTTTTTCAACAGTTCTAATGTGTAGGATCAATGAATTTTGTTTTTTATGTGAACTCTTTGCATCTTTCAAACAGGCTGCGATTGAGAAGTTGCATGTACCAGATGAATTAGAAGATACCTTGTAAATCAGTTTATGGTTAGGGTACAGAAGCAGAGAGAGCATGTTGTACATTATCCGGCTACAAGCACTGAGTCCTGCTTGTGCCATTGGAATGAAATGACCTGATGATCCTCAAGGCTTGCTTATTCATTCCTATGAGCGTCCTGTCTGTGCTGTGAGCAGAATTGTAACTGAAGTTTTGTAGGTATTTTACATACAAGCAAAGGTTCAAAATATGAATGTAACTGAAAGCTGCACAAATGTATTACACTTTCTAATGATTCTGAAAAATGACTTGTACTAGTGGTCTGCAGTTTGATTTATTATTATTATTCATTTAATTTTGAAAATAATTGCAGTGTTGCAGGGCCTGTAGATTGATACTGTCTTGTAATTTTAATTTTTTATTTTAATTCTTGTATGTGTTTCTTATTCCTTCTGAAGGGAACCTAAACTCAATTGTGGTTCGTATCTTGGGTTGTTGGTTGAACTTTTGAAACTGGTTTTGAAAGGGGAAGCAGTGTATCAGATGTGTTCTGTAAGAGTTGATTATAGAACACTTGTAGGTGTAGAGTGCCTGTGTTCATGCTATCCCATGGTTTTGTTAGCGACCCACTGATATTTGGGTATCATTGTGCGTGCTGTTTTGTCTGTGTTCAAATACAGGGTGTGTACTGTTGGCTTCTTGTATAAAAACAAAGACTGCCATGCAGTAGATTATTCTCTTAGGTTGGGTGTGTGGGGTGATATATTGTTGGAATGGGTGGATTAGGGATCGGATTGCTTGAACTAGGATTGTTCATATTAGGCCTTTGATTTCAACATTGGTAGATAGATAAACCCAGGCCAATACCACACAAAGGGTGGTGGTACCCTAGGGCTTTGGGTTGCAACTGTAGGGTTTGGAGGCTTTAAGGTTGAGGGAGGGGGGGTTTGAACTTCAAATCCAAGGTGAACTCCAGCCGGGGGGCTGGTTGGCCGTTTTTGCCAGAAGAGGCCATGAGAATATCACAATGTTATTACTTGAACATGAGTTTGAGCAAAACGTAACTTTTAATTGGTATAAAGAAACCAACATGGAGACAGTGATAAATCTGTGATGTAGATGTGTGGCAAACACACAAGATGAGATTCGTCGGAGGGGAGGAGTTACATGCTCAAGCGAGAAATCTTAGTACACATTATTTGTTTTGTTGGGATACAAATTTTTGAACAATTGGTAAATGTTTGGACATAAATTGATGAATACAAATGAATTGTTCAAATATATATTTTGTTCAATTGTTTATGTTCAAATAATTATTTTTTGTTTATAAATTTATATTTGAATATTTGACTTTTGTTTGGAAATTTGTTCCTGAACGATATAAATAGTGTGTACTAGGATTTTCTATAGTGTGTAAATAGAATTACTCATATATAAGGGCACTCGGTTGAGAAATCTAATTTTGATTTTTTTTGATCTAAAGATCCATGATTTTCTTTACCCATAAGGACAAGCATATGTAACATGACCAACATACCCTTTTGTATATATTTTTTGAGGATACCCTTTTGTATATAAACTATATACAACACTGTCTAAACCCTAAACACTCACACTCCTATCTCTTCTCCGCTTCATACACGACAAAGACTGATACCGTTGCTTTAGTTAATGCTGCCATCACTACCTCTACCTTCGTTGTCGCCCTCTCTCTCTTTCTCTTCTCCTCTTCATGTCCCTTTCCATCTCCATCCACCTTTAGCAGCAATTCGTTGGCACGTCGACTCCACGGTGACGATGATTGACAAAATGAAGAAACGCAATAAATGTTCGAATAGTGATGAAAAACACCTTCTACGTTGGTGAAGCCTCCTTTGCTAGAGAACCATCACCGTTTGTGCCATGGACAATGTCGGAATGACAGATTTGCTCTTTACGTAAGTTGTGTTGGGAATACTCATGATGATTGTGTTTTATACAGGTATGTGCTCACTGAAGGTACGAGATTCTCTTACATTCCCTTCATTATAGTCCGTTGTAGTACTATAGAGAGAAAGAGATTACATATATATATATATATATATATTTGAAGGCTTGAGTAATTGTTTTGATTGGTTTGCTTTTGTTTAACAATGGCGAGATGATGATTTTCTTGTTGATCTATTATTACTTTTGATTTTTGATTCTCCATTATTTTGCTTTCAGATTAGTGATTTGGCGATCGTTCAGAGGAGTTGTTGAGTCCAATTGCATCTGATGAAGGCATTTCAGCTTTTTTTTATTGTTGTTGAACAAATCTATGTTAAATTTGCTTTTTATTTTTTATTTTTAGGTTTAAGTTCATAGTTTAATAGATCTATGTTAAATTCTTCAGATTTTTTAGGTTTGAACTCATAGTTTAACAGATCTGTGTTAAATTCTTCAGTTGTTTAGTTTTTTTTTAGCTTTGCGCTCATATCTGTGTTGGAATTCGTCTAATAAAGGTATTTCAATATTTTTTTTTGTTGTTGTTGATTTTCTTATTTTTCTTTGTTTTTGTTTTTGTTGTTGTTGTTGTTAATTGCAACAAATAAAAAAAAAAAAGTTTTGGATCTATGTATATCTATGTAATATTTGAGTGTTGGTTTCAACAGATAGAGAAATAAAAATTGGACAGATAAATGTGTATAGATAAAAATTAGTACAATAATTAATTTCAACAGATAAGGAAGGGGAGAAGGAAACTAAATAGATAAAAAAAAGTTTGAATTTCAATAGATAAAAAAAAATTAGAAGAAAATTTTTAACAAATTAAAAAAGATAAGACAAGAATTTGAAAAAAATAAAATAAAATTTTTACACATAGAAATTTCAATAGATAGGAAAAATTAAGATAAAAACTTGAACAGATAGACAAAAAAATTGAATAGATACAAAAAAAATTGAACAGATAGAATTTTTTTTTTGAACAAATAGAAATAAATTTGAACAGATAGCCAATGAAAGTCAATAGGGGTAAAATTGAAAATAAAATATCCTCGAAAACCAATAAAAGGACTTATTACCAAACTATTTCACAAAAGAGGGACGCATCACCAATAAAAAATATTCACTGGAGTTATTGCGTCTTAGATACTCTCTAAATTAGATTTATCACTAATTCTCTCTCTCTCTCTGTCTCTCTCTCTCTCCACATATATATATAATTAGTGTTTTTTATTTTTATTTTTTGTGGCACATTCAAAAGACTTACTTTTTTCTAAAAAAGTTATATTTTTTCCATTTACATATAAAGTTCTATATAAACTCAATTTCAATTATAATAACCACTTTTGTATGGACTCTATTTGAAAAATTATTATAATTTAATTATTATGATATTTGAAATTTTTTTTATCTTGATATACAAATAAATAAATAAATAAGACAGCATGCACTTAATTATGTGCATAGCACATATCAAATTAATTTTCTTTATAGTTTTTATTTTTTATCTATCTTATTGATGTCTTAATATTAATTTATATTTAATTTTTTATTTAACATTAAATTATTTATTACAAAACATTTATATTTAATTTAAATTTTATATATTGTTGTATGTATGAATAATTCAAAAAGAATATTAAAGAAAAAAATCATTACTCTACATAATTAATTTATGTATTTTCTTCTTAATCTAAACACAACATCTTAATATTTAATCTTTTAGATAAATTTTGTATAGTTCTATTTCTATATATATATATTTCCAAATAAATATAACAATAAAATTAAAATTAAATAATTAGAATCACTTTTAGTTGTATATTACTAATTCGCTTTCTAATTTAACTATTATTTTTAATATTAAAATGAGTATTTAATTTACTATCTTATAATTTAATATATATCATATAAAATCATCAACGGAACTGGAATTATCAAAATAAGCAATTAATTTAACTAAATTTATTATATATAAGTGAAAAATTTTAAAATTTCCGAGATAGATTTGTGATTATGTTTCAATTTTTAAATAATAAATAACAATCCCAATCAAACAATCAAAAACAAATCAATACAACAATTTAACGTAGAAAAAATCACAATTGGAGTATCTCCAATTGTGATAAAAAAAATCACGGGCCAAAGCCACAAAAACAATACACTAAGATGATAAAAAGGAATTACACAAGTGTACCCTTAATTACTTAGCGAATCCATGCTCTAATTGAACCGACCCTGATATGTCTCTTCCACCACCGACTTCACCTCGGAATTGTCGTGCCCAACGTTGGATCCATAACGCTGATATCGAATCCACGATGATGAACCACTCTGGAATCCACCAAAACTTCAGGCCCAAGTTTCTCGAAATTCATCGAAGAACAACTCTTTCTTTTGTGAACGAAACAATAATGACAACTCTTGATGTTTGGCAATTTGAAGTTCGCTAATCAATCGATCACTTTCTACACCACGGAAACTCATATAAAATACCTATCCAAGATTCTGGACGGTTTTAACCCTAAAAATATCAAACTGCGTACTTTATAATAAATTGAATCTCAAAGACCACCCAAACGCACATTTCACCGCTCGAGTGCAACTTTCACCGCTTGAGCGGTAAAACTTCATTCCCAAAAGTACAGGCGCTTTGCAAAAGTATTGGACGATTCTTTTCTTTGCTTGAGCGCACAAATGACTGCTTGAGCTGTCAAACAACTTCGACTGCATTTTTGTTTTTCGCTTTAGGAGTCCTGTCCCTCGACCTTGGCTGGGCGTTGCCCCGGACCCTCTATGGGGCGATCCCCGTACATAGCCAACGAAGTGGCAAACACGAAAACCTCAAGATTACAAACTCTGTTGCATAGGCACAATTTGGATTGTATTCGCATCTAAACACTCATAGCCTCACTGAAATAAAAAGAACGAATAAAATTATAATTGAAAGAAATTTTGTCAAACGAGATTATCAATTATAAAAACCTAACAATAAATATACAAATAACATTTTTATAGAACGATAAGGCTAAGATTATTAAAATAAATAATTTAAATTTAAATTTAAATTTTATTTTAAATTAAAATTAATATTATTCTTTTGTAACACACATCATAATATAAAATATCATTATATTAATTAAAGTTAATTCTATTGTGATTTTATATTAGATATCATATTTCTAGAAGTGATATACATACACGTGCAGCGTCCAATTTAATATTGATTGATTAAAATAATGGAACTCGATACTTTTTTTTGTTAAGTTTTTAAAAGATAAATTGTAAATGTCAAATGATAATTAGTGTGAAGTATTATTTTAAAGAATAATGATTCATAAAAAATGATTGTGTATATTTAAGACACCTATTGATGTTTCTTGAATAATTTTTAAACAAAAATTTTGAATTTATAGCATTACTGATAATGCATATTTATGAGCTCTGCCAGAAAAAATATGCAAAAATTTGGCTAGAATAA